CAGTGCTTTAAGATAGAAGTATTTGAAATACCAATAATGGGATTGAGTTTATATATAAAGAGTTTTTCAGTGCAGTACAACTCAGAGGTAATTAGGCTTAACAGCACTAGCTGAGGACCATCTTTTTTCTAGTCAAGTATCTAAAATTAGGGAGGACACTGTTATGGTAACATTAAATTCAGATAAAAAAGAAACAAACCAGAACATTTGTAGACCATTTTAAAAGTATACAATTAAAAAGTAAAATTACAAGAAAGTTGCAAAAAAAGATGTACTGTTATAAAAAAGAGGTGTGAAGAGACTCAGAAATATGTTAAATGTTAAATAGAAAGTGGTTGGTAATAGAAATCAAGTGTTTATTTACCACTTCCCAGTGGAGATTAGGAACACGTGGGAAGGAAAAAAAATTAAAAAAGGAAAGAAAATACATTATTTGCAGAGTTTTTTGCTTATCAATATACTAGCATCAAGACGTTCACTAGGAAAATTCTGGATGTATCAAGGAGATACTGTTTTGGAACTGGACCGAAGTTCTGTTAGGGGCGATCTTCCTGCTGAGTTAGCACTGCTCTGATATCCCCACAGAGACTGAGCTCCATGCCCAATTAGAGGAGTCATTGTTTTCTCTTTCTTGAGATTACCCACCAGATGTACTGTATCAGTATGTGATCTGAATAAACTAACCATGACCAGTTTATTATTAAAGAGCTTTGCCTCTTTAAGCCCCTGCCTCCTGCTTCTAGCCTGTTCGTGGTAAACTGCAGGTCCTGGGATGAATTCTCAATCCATTTGCTGAAAATGGTGTGTTGCAATTTGAGCTGTGTACGTACAGAGAAAGTAACACTGGTCTATACATAATGAGAATACCTCCAGCAGACACCAGAATGCAGTAGTTTCAGAACTGAGATGCAGCCTTAGTGGTAAGTAGCAGTGTACTTTGGGAGAGGAAGCAATGCCTACCTGCTTCTGATAAAACTTGAGAGAAGGTTTTGACAGAACACTAGAACTTGATACCTACCCTGTATTTCAGCTCAATGCTGAATTTGTCCACTGTAAGTTATATCTCATTGGTGTAAGTCTTGGAGCTCAGTCTCTGTGTGAGTATGTTCAGTACAAATTCAGAAGAAAGTGCACCACCTAACACAATTTCCAACCAGCACAGTGCCTGCTATACTTGGAAATGCTGTTTCTGTCTTAATAGCCCTTTGAAACTTCTGAGCTATGACATAATATTTTTGTCTTTTAATAGTCCCTTCTATTGGTAACCCTGCATTTATTTAAAGGAATGTATTATTGAAGGGCTGTTGGTATGTGGTCCAGTTCAGTGTTCACTCACAGCTGTGGTACTCTGTTCCTCTGTAAAGTGGTGGGTTTGCTGTGCTGAAGGCTAGAATGCAACTGGACAAGACGGACAGGAATGCATTCTGCTGTGATGTGTTCTGTACCACTGGGAAAACTCAGGCTGAGGTCACTTTAGTTTGAAAGGCTGGGTTTAAAATTACTTTGAAGAATCAGTAGGGATTCCATTCAACAAGCTACCTTAACACTGCATTCAACAAGCTTCTGGAGAGACAACAAGCAGCATTATCTGCAAATCTTGTACCTCAGAAAGTAACTAGGACACAAAAAAAAATTCAAGGGAGGTATCCTTTTGAATTTGCTATAATAATCTGTTTAAAATTTAAGTAGAATACAGAAGGCCATATGTTTTGGTTTCTAAGTGCCAAATATTTACATGGTACTACAAAACCCAAGATAATTATAAGGTTCTGAATCAGACCTATTAAACTTACTAGAATTCATCTTCATTCTGGATTTTTGCCTTCCTTTGCAATTTGTTTGAGTCTTTCAGCAGACAGGAAAAGGAATGTAGCTACCAGTCCTGGATACTGCACTCTTAATTTCTGCATCCTGTAGGGGTCCATTTGCTTAAAAATATTGGGACATCTTTACAGAGGGCCACAGGAAGAACTGACAGGATGTTGCGAGCTTTCGTGAGTCAGCACACAGTAGTTGGAGACAGTTGCATGACTTGACTGTAGAAATAAACAGAGAAATGAGCTTTTGCCCGGTATAAAGTCAGCAGTGGTCAGAGAAAGGTGTTGACTGGCATTGTGTCATCATCCCCCAGAAAGCACCTCCCTGTTCTGACATGAGTGGCTACAAGACCACAAATTTTGCAAGGCAGGAGCAGGCTTGAGCAGTAGGTGTGGTTTGCCCAGAAGCTGAGCCAACCTGATAGCTCACAGACATCACCATAAGAAAATAAACCCTGCAAAAATACTGCTCCCCTTATTGTGAGCTAAACTGAGTCAAACTAGACACAGTGGGGAACAGTGGTCCATGGGTGGGAGCAGATGAGGAGAGTTAAGACTCCTTTCAACAGCAGCAAGTAGATTAATTCCATGTATCAAGCTTGCTAGACAACACAGGAATTTGCTTTTGGCTATGTTTTTGTAAAGTGCCTGTCAGTAGCCCAGGATTTTAAGCCTTAAAGGAGCACGAACGGTACCTGGGAGCATGTGAAATATCAAGATATTTGTATAGTCTGCTGCACAAGTATGAGGGTATCCAAGTGTAACCATCTAAAAGACAAATAATATTTATTAATAGTGAAATTGGATTTTAGAAGAGCAATTTTTCTGTTTTAAATGGGGAAGCAATTATAAAAATACTAGTATCTGCTTGAAACAACTCTGTTAAAGAGAGGTCAAATTGAAATCTGGTATCTGGATCCAGCTGTTAGCAGGGCAGACATTTGATTCCACTGGTCGGCTCACATCCAGTGGAAACTGTTGATGGGATAAAGGCAGGCCTAGCAAACTGATGGACAGTGTAGCAGCCACAGCAGGGACATGCCAGCTCCAGACACTTCCTGCACTTGGCTGGAGGTCTCAGACACACAGCCTAGCCACAGTAAGAGGAAGAACGTGTGAATAAGTAGCCGTAGCCTAACAACCTAGTCTGTGCACAAACCTAAAGGCCGTGACTGTTCACCGACACAGATGACAGATCTTCGAGGAATGAGGCCAACAGAAAGTCCGTCCAAGCTCTACATCCACCAGTGTGTGAGGACAATCCTCTGCAACATTGTTTCTAGCCTAGTCATTGTATTTATGAATTTTTTGGAGCAATTGAGACAAAGTAAGTCATGTTCCTTTTTAGTCAGAAATTCTTCCTCGTTTGTTACAGCTGTAACTCTCCCCAGGTGATATTTTCTTGTATATTTTGCAAATTGTCAAATTCCCTGAGGACATCTAATATTTGACTCGTAAACAGGTTCTTGTCTTTAATAACATGAGAGAAAACTGTTTCTGCTGTTTTTTCTTTCTTTCTTGTGTTTAACTATGTGACTACGATAGGGGATAAATTTCAGTGTATTTGCACAAGTTGGGTTTTTTCCCCCATTAATTTTTTTTCCTTTTAATTGTGTAACAAAATAAATAAAGAGAATATTAATTAAATCTTCCCTGTAAAATGTGTGGGTTTTATTCAACTGGCAGCATAGTCCATCTAAGTAAAAATTTATTTCATTAACAATATTTGTTTCTTATGAAGATAAAATGAATTCATCTAAGCTCCCTCCCATTTGGAGAGAGGTGGCAGGAAAAAGCAGATGGGTATATATCTGAAAACTTGCCATTTAGTGGGTTAATCACTCTAGACACTTCTTTCATTTTACCTCCCTTAAATTAGAAATACATATCTCTTTTTTCAAGCTTCCTGAAAGTTACTGCCTTTGGGCCCCATCATTATCCTGTTTGTTTATGCTTAATTCCTACCCTTCAAGGTCATCAGAACAGATAAAATTTAATTATAGAAATAATTGGGGGAAAAAATCATAGATCCTTTAGGTAAGGCCACATAATGATGACTTGCAGAATCAGTAATAGAGCATCTAAGGATCTTTCTCCAGAGCCCATCGCAAAATTGGAATAGAAGTAATAAATAGATACATAGATAAAGTCACCTGAAAGGAAAACATGTCTTGTATACTTCTTGCGTAATGTAATTCTGTCTTTCTCACAATTTGGCATTTTATTTTTAATAGTACCAATAGAAAAGTAGGCCACTGAAATGAAAGAGCCTGGCAAATTATATACTTGCACATATGTTTACTGAAAAATTGAAAACTTAATAGGAGTTACGAATTCTGAAAGGAAATACTTCTGGAGGGATGAAATGACTTATTTTTATGAATCTCTGTCTGAATTTTCCTTCCCAAAACAAAAGCAAGTAGGACTCTCTGGCTCCCTCTAGAAGAAGGAAGTGGGGGACTGTAGTCCGAACCACATCCTGTGCTCTCTCTGGCATTTCTCAGTTCCAGCAGCCTAAAGGCCTGAATAGACAGTGAGGGGTCAAGTGAGTGTCCATTTAAGGACATTCCAAACCTGAATGGCGGTTCTAAATTCTTACCTATCTTTAGGTGAGGGGTGTTTTTTGTTGCTTAGGAGACAAAAATCCCTCACTGAATCTTTGAAAGAGGAGTTGTGGGTAGTGACTTGCAAAAGAGGGCTGGACAGGGGAACCTTCCCTGAGAGGTGTCTGGTGCAGGGAACAACCTGACCTCATAGTGGTTCTCAGCATTTTGTTTTAGTCAGTGCTAGGAGACTGCACTCAGCCCATGTCATCTCAACTGGCTGGCTTGGATGCCCTCAAGGTGCCTGGTCTACTCACCCTATGAGGATTTCTAGTTGTTGAACAGAGTTCTGGCATGTTCAGAGTGGCATATAAAACCTTTGTTGTTTTTCCTACCAGCATCATTTCATTAAAGTAGACAAAAGCACTAAGAGGAGCAGAACAAATTAGGTTTGCGCCTTTCTACTTACTAACTTTGAAAAAGAAGGTAGATAGTTCTAAGGATCATTTCACATTTTTCCGTGTCTACATTGCAGAGAAGTCAAAATTTAAAATTTGGACAAGACAGATGCATTCCCCTTACCTTCCTGCAATACCACAGACAACCAGAACTGCATCACACATACCAAAGAAGAGAAGGCTGAGTGAGAGATGAAATTCCAGTTCTGGTCATAGAAGAAAACTGATTTCGCAGGGGGAAAGGGGGAAGTTACTAATTAAAATTTATCTAAGAAACGTCTCAGTAAAAGAATCATCAATCTATTTCATCTGAAGTCTGAAAGAGGCACATTTGAGGCTGAAAATACAATAATTAACACACCGATGGTACTGACATAAAACACCAGTAGATGCTTTTTAACTGCTAATTAACCTCTGGCTTCTATAAATATCCTTTAAAAAAATGCACATCTTCATCACCTTTTTTGCTGCTCACTAGCAATCACATAGTTTATACTATTAGTCAGACCATGCTGCAGATTGCTCCTGGTCCTTTTGACCTGTTTCCATTTCCAAATTACTGCACAACCTTCCCAATCTAATGACACCTGCAAACATCTGCACTTGCTGCAGGTGTCCTTCCTATTTCTAAAAATTAATTAACGAAAGTTAATTATTTCTTAATGTATTGTTTCTCTCTCTTGTTTCAATTAATATCTGAGTTATTGAAGTGGATCATTTCTATTAGTTTGTTTTCACAAAGTTGGAAAACTCTAACTCCACTATCATCTTAATTACTTACAAATGAAGGGTAAAATGCCTTCTTTTCTGTGGCAAAGATCCAAAAGATGTAATGGAGACGGGATGTCGCGGCAAACCTACATTCCCTACACATTCCTCCAGTCTCAGCAGGACCACTCAGGCACTGGAGGCGAAGCGTGCGTGCCGTGCACAAGCACAAGTATACAGTTCCAGGACACAGAGCCCACTACATCTTTTACTTTATAATAGTGGTGCCAGATTTTCAGCAACACATGTTACGTTTAAACAAAGCAATAATTTAATATTCTGTCTGCTGCATAGAAAAAAATTAGTTCATCCTCCTTTTCCTCTCCCAAAGAAATAGCATTCCGATACTTTCTTACCTAGCTGGATTCCTATAGAAATTAAAAGGGGTTTGAGATCATTATCTCTTCATATGTATAATAAATCTCTGTGTGCGTCCGCATGTGTGCACACATACGTGCTTGTACATACTTGTGTGTTGTGCAAGAGAAAGGGAACGAGAACAAACAGTAGCCAATTTTAACCACATCTGACAGAGCAATAAAGTGCTGAAAATGCTACATTCCTATACATTTCATAAGAACAGGCTGCTAAGAAAAAGGAGACCCACTGCAGCTTGAGTTAAACCCTTATTAAACACCAAGAAAGCTGCAATGATGAAAGATGTTATGAATACCCACCCACAGGAAAAGCTGCAGCCAGAGCTTTCAGCTATGTAGACCTAGGAGAATCCAAAGATTTGCCCAAGGGAAACAAAGCCCTATCAGATTTGCAGCTCACAGGACTACTGGTTTGTGCTGGATTTCTAATCCATCACTGTCCTGCTCTGAAGATAACATACTCCATTTTTGCCCCTTGACTTCAGGGGAAAAAAAATTTTTTTTTTTTTTTTTAATACAGATTTCTCAATCCTGATGAGCTGAAACCTAAGATGAAAGGAAGGACCAGAACTGGTTCTTAAAAACCCCATGCAATACCCTCACCAGAATCCACACATACAGCACACTAGACAAAGAGAAAACAGCATCTTCAGTTTCTGGTGCACTGGAGACTGGAGAAAAACTTCATACTCTGTCAGCTTGGACTTTGGTCTTAAGTTAGCAAGAGTCAGTACTATTAAAAAGCCTTTCATCTCACCTTCTGACCTGTCACATCACTTATGTCCATTCTCAAAAGTTTGGTGAGGAACACGCATCTTCGGTCTTTAGATTTTCTTTTTTTTTCTGTAATACAGCTGGGGTATCTGTGCAGAGGACACAGCTGGAGGAGGGAGTTAAGTCAGGGTTCTTGGCAATGTTGACCTTGCCAGTGCAGTGCAGAGTCCCTGGCTCTGCTGGTCTTCCAGAGACACTCCTGCCAGTGTCACATCTCTTTGGCACATCACTTGGATGGTAAAGGAAAGCTGAAAGTGAGAGAGGACCCAAACCCAGTCATGCACCATGGATCAGTAAGCAGACTATCTTCAAGAAGACACTCAGTATAGTGTTTGTCTCAGTCACGTTTCCTCCCTGTTCGTAGCTTGGGAGTGGTTTGACAAAGTTTGTTTGCTTCACCCCCTAGTTGTGTGTTCATCACCTATCAGTCACACATCCAGGGACAAACTCTGGCACTCCAACATTCACAATCCCTTCTGGATGACTGCCTGACTTTTTATGTTCTAGTCACAGTAAGTCACCTTTCATCTATACCTCTCTTCTGCACTGTATACCCTCAGATCTTTCTTTGCTAGGCACGTTCACATCTCTAAAAATACAATCCAGGAACTTTTTATTCTTCTTGTTGTGTAGCAAGGAAACTTGTCTCTTAAGCTCAGCAGTCTTACTTTTGGGTGCTGAGGCAATCAATGCACCTAGGCTGCCTTGGATGCCTGTAGCCATATCTCGCAGTGCTCTGATACACTGTCCTTCCTCCCCCACACAAAGGAAGGAGAGCTAATGAAAGAGTTCAGCAGCCAAATCCTGCTATTCCCCTCTTCTTCCGAAAGAGATTAACTCCAGAAAAAGAGAAGTGCCCATTCTTATTGTAGGGTGACAAAGGGATGTGTGTGGTATTGTTATTATTCTTGCTGCTACATGTTTGTGAGGTTATTTTGAAATATTTTCTATGAAATTTTTTTGGGGGTCTTTTTTTGCAAAGAGTATAATAATGACCTAAATGGTAATAAGAATCTCCAAATCTTGGAGCAATAAAGTCTTCTGAACCCTTAACTTCTAAACTCTAACAGTCTTCTAAACTAGCTACATTTTGCAATTTTATGGGAAAATAAATACCCATTCAATTCAGTATGTAATATCTATCAGTCCCTGTTCTTCCTAGTGTAAGATATGTTAGATGAGTAGCCTACTTTTTGTGCTTTGTCATTCATTACTTAAGGATATAGAGAGGAAGTTAGAACGGCATGTTGGTTAACTAAGTAAATATTTAACAAATTGGCTCTGATTTTAACAATCTAAGGGAACAGTATCATAAAACCTTAGAAATTTGGCAGTATTCATCTGAGGTTTTTTATGTGACTCTCAAGTTAGTCATTGGAGCCATTTCATTTCCTGGATGAATTATGTAATTCCTGTAGTAGGACAGTTTAACATAAACACGTATAATAAAACAAGTCAGTTAAACCTGCAAGTTAATTCTAGGGCAAAGGGAGAAAGCTGCCTCCTTCTTATTTACTGTTCCCTAAGGAGTCAAGGCCCCAGAGCAGTAGGACTCTGTACGGACTAAAAGTTAAACTCACATTTGGTTTCTGAGTTCCTGGGACCCAGACCCTTACAGTTCTGTTGTAATTCACATTTGGACGTGCTGTAGTCAGCAAACATTTCCTTATACCCCTGATATTCAGGCAACGGAGGAGACAGGCTGGGAAGCAGGTTTCTAAAGGTCACAGAAAAAAAAAAAAACAGCAGAGAACAATTTCAGGGGTTTACAAATTACCTGTGAAATTTAGCAATCTACCCTGGGGCTTTCCAAAGGGAAAAGAAACTTACTGGTAAAAGTCAGCATAAAGGACTCCCATTTTTGGCTTCTGTAAAGTGTGAGTTAAACACCACTTTTGTCAAATAGAAATCTATAAGAATTATTGTATGTTAATGATTTCCCACAGGGGCAAAGAGGCAGCTATTTGCTCATCAAAAATGAGCAGCAACCAACACAACAGTGAGCTGATGATCCTTTCTCCCATTTCCTCATTGGTTTGTCTACTGTTTGTCCACATTTGCTGTGCAGGTCATCAGTATCAGGATTACAAGCAGAGACTTCACAGGGAACATAACTTGCGGTGTCTTAAGTGAAAAAGCCTCAACCTGCCCAGTATTTCATGGTTAATTCAATTCCCCATTTCAGCCTGTACCAGACTATTTAGAATGTATTAACCGAGTCTGAGAACCCCCAACTAGAGAGTATGCAAAGTATTTTCATTGCTGCAGCTAATCTATGAAGACAAATATTATTGTGTTTACACTGTTAGAAACAAAATATCCTTATCTCCAATAAAAAACATTTGCTCTTTGTTGGATACCAACACTGTTCAACTCCAAAGCTGTTTGAAATCCTGGCTTGTTGCTTATCTAACTCAGTGGTGCCTGTACTAGAAGGAAATCAGAGAACTCCCTCTGATACTGCTCTACCTCCCTGCTTGAGGACTCAATCTGTTGAGGATGTTCTCCTCATGAAATCTCTTTTGGTCATGGAAGAGATTACCCCCATTTCACAGACATGAGTGAGATGTGCAAGAGCGTCAAGAGCCTTGCCAGAGGTTACACATGAAATCTCATGGCAGGACCAAGTAATAAAGTCCCATTTTTTTAATCCCAGTCCATCCTCTATTTCACCATCTTTTTACCTCAAAGAAGAAAAATGGATCAACATTATTCCTTGTCCTCTCTTTTGAATAAGAACCTAATTATTTGACTACTGCTCTATTCCATTCTTCAGAAAATATTTTTCCTTACTTTTGTAGATTTTCCCCATACCTTCACAATTTACAAATTGCTGCCACACAGCACCAGTTAGTGTCCCTGGAAGCAGCAGGCCAGTTGTGGACACAGCTCCCAAGCAGTACCAGCCCAGGTTCTGTCTGTACTGTGCATCTGTAGTGATGCAGAATGAGAAAACTCAAGGCATTAATGGTGAGAGATGCTCTGAATTCAGCAGTATCTCACTGTCCTCTTGGGTGCCCCGATGCCTGAGCAGGGAATCCTGCAAAGCCCATAGAGATCCTGCTGCTGCCTGCCTCATGCTCTCTGCTTTGGACCATTTTGCACATGCTGATGTGTAGGAAGTGTCTCTTTACAGCCCTATGGTGTTAGAGCCAACTTGAGCTTTTCAGCCTGGATGTTAATAGAAGCCATTCCCAACATTTTGTCAATTAGTTCTACTACCAAGATACTGGATGGAGACAACTTAGATCTGGTTTTCCACCTTTTTTTTTTAAGGTTGTGCTGCACTTAATAAAACCCCCAAACTAATCTTTCCAAGCCCACCACCTGTGCAGTATTAGTAGCTGTTTCCTTGTGGGACAGTACACTTCTCTCAATCATCTCTGTACGGTTTTCAAGCCTTGCCATCCGCCCATCTAAGCTGTTAATTCTCTGTGACATTTCCCTGTATTTTTCTTTCAGAGAAGAAAGGGACCATTGAAGAATATCGTGCAGAGTCTCAAGCAGTTACCGAATTAATTCCTCAAGGATCGGGCTGGTGAGAGGGCAGCACAACTCAGAGGCAGAGCCCAGCAGAACTTGTGGAGGAACCTTTGAGCCAGCAGCATGCTGCTTGAAAAGCCTTTCTCCTTCAGACACATTCGTGCCTCAAATCACTCACTACCAAATATAGAATGTATTCTTTAAAGGATACTACTTTCCCCACATGAGGTATATAAAACTGATGGAAAAAGCAAAGCTGAAAAATACAAGGATACCATATGAGATGTGATTAAATCAAAATGCCCACACAGCCTGACCTGGTGGCCATACAAGCCTTCACTTTACTCGCACAGGTAGGCATATGAGATAGAACCACACTGCCCAGGGGAGTAGAGGTATCCACACACACATGCTGCCAGCTATGGGATAGACCACGTGGGCACGCCGGCGTTCAAGCAGCCTGTCTGCGTATAGGAAGGGGCATTCAGCAGGACCACTCTTAATAACAGGAAGATATTAAAAGTAACCAAAGCAAAGAGGCACTGGCGGTTCACAGTTGCTGCTCCCACTGTCATCATATCTGGCCATCACAGAAATGGTCAGTCTCAACTTTTTGTCTCGGTCAGATAGAAAACAATATTATCAGGTCCTTTCCCACCAGGGCTCCAGACCCAGGCACCCACTGCTCCCTTGGCCCCTGGCCTTTCTGCCCAGTTGCCCTCTGGCTGCTCCTGCAATGCAAGCACTGCAGAGTGATGGGTAAAGCAACAGTGCATGCCTTAGGCACACACACTCACCTGAGAAGCCCAGAAAAAATGCAGTGCAGTACATGTATTTTTACGTTTGAAGTGAAATAATGATATAAAAAACTGCCTAATTTGCATGGTTTACATAACATATCCTATAATCAGGAAAGGTAGTTCCTAGGAAAAAGTAAAGCATGAGTAGGAGAAGGATAAAGTCCTTCCTGCTACTTTTTAATCCCTTTCTTGCTGTATATGCTTCCTTTTTCCTTCCAAGGAAGCAGTCTTGCATTTTAGGGGCAATTCTTGATCTAAAACACATTCTAGATTCTTTCACACAAAGAAGAAAAAAATGTTTCTGATTCAGTCCTTACACTGGATAGTTGTTTTAGTCCCAAAAACTGTGGCCAGCAAGACTAGGGCAGTGATCATACCCCTGTACTCGGAACTGGTGAGGCCAGACCTCCAATTCTGTGTTCAGTCTTGGGCCCCTCACTACAAGAAAGACATTGAGGTGCTGAAGCATGTTCAGAGAAAGGCAAGGAAGATGCTGAAGGGTCAAGACAGAAAGTCATGTGAAGAGCAGCTGAGGGAGCTGGAGCTATTTAGTCTGGAGAAAAGGAGACACAGGGGGGACCTCATCGCTCTCTATAGCTACCTGAAAGGAGGTTGTAGCAAGGTGGGGTTTGGTCTTTTCTCCTAAGTAACAAGCAACAGAGCAAGAGGAAACAGCCTCAAGTTGTGCCAGGGGAGGTTTAGATTAGATGTTAGGAAAAATCTCTTCACTGAAAGGGTTATCAAGCATTGAAACAGGCTGCCCAGGGAAGTGGTGGAGATACCATCCCTGGAGGGATTTAAAAGCCATGTAGATGTGACCCTTAGGGACATGGTTTAGTGGTGTACTTGGCAGTGCTGGGTTTAACGCTAGACTTGATCTTAAAGAACTTTTCCAATCTAAATAATTCAATGATTCTAAAAAAGGACGAATAACTCTCTCTCCCTTTGTTTCTTTTCCACTTTTGCCCAGTCCCTGGTCTGCTTCCTCTGTGGCTGATCTCATCTCTGTGTTTTTCTCATATATCTTGTGAGATTGCTCACTCCATCCATCACCTGTGCATTTGACACGCATTTGCTTCCATGCCAAAGTCCCGAGTGAGCTCTGTTATGTAGTCCAAACCAGCTCGAAGTTGCAGCCACCTACCTTGTCTGCCAGCACTGCTTAAATTTCTCTCTCTTCAGGTATGTCCTTGACAGGTGTTTTGAGCTGATCCAGGCTTCGCTGTGGGGGCCCAAAACCCTCAGAGCTGGTGGTCCCAGCTGGACTCATTTGCTCCTTCCCACCAGTGCTGCCCTGAATGCCATTAAGGCACAACATTCGCCAGGAAACAATGACCTTGAGCAAATTCCCTCTGCTGCTGCAACACAAAGTGTGAAAAGCAAGATCACAAATACTGCTGCAAATACTGCTGATGCACATCTGCTTGAACATTCAGAGATCCCAGGTCATCTCAACAGCTTTTAGACTTTGTCAACATTTGCCTTGGTGTTTCTTTACCTCATACATAAAGACTAACCATATCTAAGCCACTATTCAGGCCAAAACTACAGGCTACACAAGCAAATGGACTGTTCATTTGTTGTGTAGTGTTTAACCATGGTATGAAATGAGCCATAAGAAAATGGCAGCCATTTACTGGAATTAGCACACTTAGAAATAGATTGGGATAGTCATAATAAAAAGATGCAACTTATACACCAGAAAAGCCTGTGCTTTGGGTTGTGTGCATCTGTTGCAAAATAGCACTTAGATGCTGCAGCACTGGGTGGTCATGCTGCTTGGTTGAATGAAGGGAAAAAAACAGACATGAGGAGAGAAAGCAAACTGTCCCTGCCCCTTGGGTCAGAGCACTGACAGTCTGCCCGCTCTGTTGCTCTGCCTGAGCACCTGAACGTGATCACACTTGCACTTCTGAGACATGAATACAAATATATCCCTAAAGTGCTGGCCAGCTGATTGCTTCTGTCTTGCAACATTTTGATATTGATTTTGGTATCCTTTTCTTATAAGGTTGATAAATACAATCTGAACATTGAGGAAACTGGAAGATCCAGTGTACTTCCACACTGACATTGCATTCCTAGAAGGTAAATCGAGTTAAGGCAAATCTTACCCCTCCGCAGGAACTCAAAGAAAACGCCACATACTCCTACTTTAGATCTTTGATCCACCAGCTTTACACATGGAGCACAGCATGCCTCCCATGGAATTTTGCTGAGGGCTATTTTTCCCTTGTACTGCCAGTGAGACCCCAGGAGGTGCAGTGTGCGTCTGTTCCAGCTGCAGGACAACAGCTGGGGTCAAGAAAATCAGAGGCAGAAGGGGCATCAAAACTATTTTCTGACTCATCACAAAAAAGCAATAGAGGAAAAAAAGTCTTTAAAATCCTCTCAAGATGTTTTTAATATTAAACATTAAAAATTATACAGATGTGAAACAAGTTGCTCCCAAATAAATGAGAACTTTACAATCAGCTATTAGAATACTATACAGTTTGTAGTAATACTATTAAAACATAAAAATATTTATAGTCTTCTCTTCTAACCCAGGGATGTGCCAAAATGCAAAAAATAATTCCGGTAACAAGAAGACTTACAGACAAAATTGTCCTGCAACATTTCCCAAGCTGCAAATAGTGGAAATGCATTGGGATCCTGCTTGTTCACAGACATGGTTTAAGCAGCAAACATCGGGTTTAAATATCAGGTCTCATCATAGGAGAGACACTCTACAGCTCCTGCTGGACACCTGGCAGTGGGTGTCTCCCACCTTGGTCTTGGTCTCAATTAAGTTAAAAGAAGTGAATGAAACAGCACACCACATTCTCTATACTCTTACTAATGAACTGTTTCTAGGTGCTCTAAGTTGGAAGTTTCTGAGCATCAGCCAATACTAGTCTTCTCATTATAGTGGTGCAAAGAAAGCCAGTAGTGGCTCCAAGGTTGGATAGGATTTAATGCTGAACACAGTGCTAACAGATGAGCAGAAGGTATAATCAATCTATTTCACTGTCAGACTGTTTGGGATTCTGGGAGGAGCCTACAGAGATATTTCCTTTGCAATTCAAGGCAAGGATCCAAGTATCTCCTAAGTAACTGTACCTTCTGGTGCTGCTTTCTTAGCTGCTATACTGGATTAGCCACTAGGGACTACAAAAGAAATTGTCCCATTCTGTTGAAGCCCAGTCAAGCAGGCAGTGGCAGGACTACCAGAGTCATATCCAAGTGGCCTGGCAGGGATGGGCACCTCAGTGGGGCTGTGCCACAGCCTCGGTAAGCCAGACCAACAGTGGATCATCCTGTCCTGTCTTGTGGTTTCTTATATCCCACCACGAAGTTCTTGCTTCCCTTTCTTGACCTATGATATCTTCTTTCTGTTTCCTTCATCCCTAGCTGTCCTTGGTATTTATAGAAGTTTTAATTCTCTTTTGTTCAGCTTTGTTTATTTTGTTTTCGTGTTGTTCTCAGTATTTCCACCCAAAGATACATGCTTTCTCCTCTCCTTTCAACATGCACATTTGGAACACACAGCCACTGTGTGAACTCTGTATTTGTCCCTGCACAACCAAGGAGAAGAGAGGCATTGAGTAGAAACGAGAAAAAGAAATAGGGAATGAGACTGAGTTCATTGCAGCTGCTGTGGTGCCTCTGAGCAAGGCTAGTCCTCCTACATGAGCCTAGAGCCTCCTACCTGCCCCATACCAACAGCAATGACTTTAGCAACCTAAATGTCACAAGGCTTTGCCTCCTTCTGCCTGACGTTCCGACAGTGCAGGGCATGTGGGAAAGAACTCGCCCATTAAAATAACACCTTCAGTGGATCTTTTCTGAACCTTCTAAAATGCCAAGCAGCTGCAGTGTTTCCAACAGGTCAGTGCAGAAGATACACAGCTCCCTGGATAACTCACCATTGTTCCCAGCTCTTCCTGAATTCTTTTGAATCCTGGTAACCCCCGCATCACACCCAGCACAAAGTGGGGTTCCAGCTGGCACTCTCCTACTGTGACATTGCACTGGGACCTGCCAGGACCTTACACCTCCTGTCCCAGTTCCTCCACCATGCTGGTGTGGAGGAAATGGATTGCTGCCTTTGGCTGGTGACCTCCATGTGCCCCTCAAAAAGAGGGATGTATGGGCCTTGTGAGCTCTTGCATACACATTCCTTGATATGACTGGAGTGTTATAAACTTCAGAGAAAAACAGGCTACCATTCAATAAAAGTAGTCTTAAAAATTCTTTATAGTAACAGCAAGTAATTTTTACGTGGCTGATTTCTTGAAATACTGAGTAATATCATGTATTCAGAGAGTCACAGCAAGGTTTTTGTCTTGAGAATGGTTAATTTCCTGAAGCACATATCAAAATCCCACCCAATGAATCCCTTCTGTGCAACCAAGCTTTCCTTGTTAAAATTCTACACAAGCATATTTCCTCCTGCTCCCTCAGGTACCATTCTCCCTATGTACACTGCAATAACAACTGCGCCTTTACTAAAATTGAACACAATAACCAGGTCTTTGTAGAGGATAATTAACAGCCAGCAGTGAATCTTTGTGCTTATTCAATGGGATATGAATGAGTTATGAAAATTCTTTGCTGGAGAGGTAATGGGATATTGTTAAGTTTACATATGCTTCGCCTCTTGCATGATAGCATATTTATGGTGTTCATAGTTAAAGTCAGAAATATGTACACATATATTATGCATTTGTATTCAGGCAGTTATGCCTCAACATGTTTGCCTCCCTTTTTGTCATTAACAAAATCCCCACTCCATCTGCATCTAATCTAAATTCCTCGTGTCCATTCTGAGCAGGATGAGTAGACCTGAGCCTCTCCAGCTGTTCCTAGAGATGCAAAGGTTCATTTCTGGAATTGAATTTCCACGGTCTTACATAAACTATCTAGGTTAGTGCCCTCACACAGGATACTTCACAGAGTACTTGGAGGTAAATATAATGACATTACACAGTTCTGAAATACATGGAGCCTGTAAATTTTTGTGTGCTTTTAATTTCATGATAGAAGACTGTCACATGGTTCTTCACTACTGACCAGCTAAGTATGTGAGGAAAGTAGCAACTCTCATTTGCAGTAGTGTATATATATCCATAGAGTGTATTCATGTATGTATATACATTATATATCTAAAATACAGAAATACCTCTCAACTCTAAGACTAAAAACCAATTGTAGCATAATTAAATGGGAACATAGTCTTTTTAAAGAAGAAATACTAATGACCATTGCTACAAAGGTAAAAGGAAGAAAATATGTCCAGATATGTTTAAAAAATAATTAGTAAATAAAAATTTATAATAATTATTTATAATAATTAGTAAAACAGAACAGCTCTCACCTGGCTGCACATTGCACGTGAACTCCCTCATCACCAGGGCGTATTGAGTGCAACAGACAGATGGGGATGTGCTGAGCTTTGTTGCTGCTGTTACTTGAGTCTGCATTGCTAGGCACACACAAAAACTTGGGAATGCTCCCAGAAAAGGACTCTTTTCATCTAACCTTAGGCCTGTGAAATGGTTGGAAAAGCAATAATGTGATTGCTGGCATACCAACAAAGTGTGCCAGGCAGCTGGTCTGGTGTAGGCTGTAAATCGGCCACAACAGGGAATTTCCCATTGCAGGTCAGGGTTTGCCAAAACTGGAAAGATGGTCACACTTCACACCAGTACTCCCACCAACAGGCCTCATACCATTTCTGTAATTGTTACTGAATAGGTGGGGTTTTTCTTCTCCCTTGCAACCTCAAAATCCCTTTTCAGTCCAGCAAGTCATTCACACTCAAGGTGTGTTTCCAAAGTGACGATCTTAAGAGAGGATGGGGAATAAAAACATTGCAGCCATCAGCTGCAGCACAGCAACCCTCACCTCTGAGGTGACCTCCAAAGGTACCCTTAGAGCCTCTGACCTCCTCCGCCCTTGTATCGTAATTTAAAGGAGTCTTAATTTTTTTTTTTTCTTTGAAAACTAACAGGGACAGATGAGAGGTTTTACAGGATGGTTTGTTTATTTGTTTGTTTTCCTTTTGAAATGTAGGTCCTGTCTCTCCCAGAAGGGTTTCTGGCTAACCGGACAGCTAATGAAACAATAATATTGTCTGAGACAGGGGAGTCAAAGTCTGGAGGGGAAACACATTTTTGTATTTATTTTTTGTTTTTAATCTGACTGCTTAGCATTCCTTCTTCCTAGCTGACGTTTACTGGAGTTCGGTCATCAACGGACATTTTGGAGAAAAAATCTTGTTGTAAAATATCCAAGAGGTCCACTCTTCCTAGCAAAGTTTCCACACTAACAAACAGCTGCCAGCCCACAGAATGGTATTTCACGCAAGACCAGCATTTAGTACTGTGCACATTTTAGGGGTTAAACAAAGCAAAAAAAAAAAGAGGATTTGTCTTTTAAGTATCTGTCCACTGCCTTTTTAACCATTGCACAAAAGAAAACAATAAAAAAATACGAATTGTTCTATAAACCACCTGTGAACAGGAGACACAATGAGTAGGAGATATTTAGTTCATTTGCAGGCATTTCTTCTATGCATCGTAAAACATGTGCTCTGTAGTCCTTAGCTAATGTGTCCTGCACTGTGGTATAAATGAATGTGAACAGTATGAACTGCTGGCCAGAAGGGCACTCAACAAGTGCTGCACTTGAAGTTATTTATTGCACAGATGAGTTAAAAACGAGTCTGATTCTGCACAGGTGCAAAAAAGCCACTCTTTGTACAGGAGAGTGTTTTGACATTAGATTAGGTTCAATAGATGATGATGGAGATGCACATAATGAATTTGTAACTATGGGGAAGCGAAGCATTGCTCCTGACCCAGATAAAATCCAAAGAGCTTTGCTGATGTCCGCACAGGAGGAGTCCTGCCTGCCTGCCCCTGCAGCTCCTGCCTGGGGCTGACAATGCTCCAGCACCTTTCCCAGCTCCGGCAGCCTCATCACGGCGACAAATACAAACATGGATTACTACACTAAACACGTCAGGCTAAGTCAATAGTTTAATAACCACTATTAAGGCTTTTCCAAATCCATTTAACAACTGTAAATTATTCCAAAATAAAATAGCCTCAGCCAATCAGCTGTACAGTCACTGACCCACAACTATGTGCTTATTTCTCAATTAAGCAAATGTCCACACGCTGGTTGGCATCAGCTGCTTTTGTGGTTTTGTATGTTGCAAGATGCAGTGTATAAATCCCTCTCCCCTGCCTGAGAGCCTCAGCTGTTTCTGACACCAGGTACTGCAGCTTCATCCTGGACAGGAGGCTGGTGCTGGGATAGACCTCTCCACTCCAGTTGTCCCCTGCTATGCCCTCCCGCATCCCCCAGCTAAAAATGCTGCCTAAACCCCCCTGGGCCTGCCAGGGTGCAGGACCACCCTGAAGTCCCGTGATTACCTGTGCAAGGAGAAGTGTTGCTCACTGGCTGGAGCCATCCCTGAGGTCGCTGGGACCAAGTGGGGGCTGCTGCCCTCACCTCTTGGAGCAGTGTCTGAACTCCAGTCGGGCTCACTGGGTCCCGGGTGCTTCACTGGCACCAGGGAGACAACCTGGCAGCAGCAGAGCCGGCATTGCCAGTGAGGCAGAGCCTCGATGAGCCCGTGGCACCGCCAGTCGTTCAAAGCCGAAGAGTTTATAGTGGCCAATCAGCCCGTCGCAGGGAGTGGGGAGAGCCCGGCAGGCACAGCAGGAATAATTGGAGGGAGCTCCTAATTAATTTGATAATAACCTTATCCTGTATTAACACACTCCACATGCAAAAATGGGTAAAAAGTGCCAATTAGCAGTGAAAGTGAAAGAGAACGCGTGATGGGGATTCAGGGAACCTCGCAGCCAAGGCCTGACAGCAGGCAGGTGTGCCAGGCCCTCAGAGGCACTGTCCTTCCTCCTGCACTGGAGTGACATGCCCTCAGCCTTTATAGCCTTGTGCCTGCTATAGCCTGCGCCTCCCATGGAAGGAGTTAGCTTCCTTCTCAGTACTTGCACCCATCAACCAGCTGTAGATGGGCTCATGGTACATTTTAGGGGTGCTCCAAATTTTTTTCCTAGTTGGTTTTGCAAGACCTAAAATCCTCATTCTCCTCAAATGAAGGGGAGCCTGTGGGAGCTGAGTGCATGCAAGGCCTAAGGAGTGGTAGAACCAATACAGCAGGGCTTCTGCTTTGAAAGGGGCTGCGTGGCCAAACTGGGCATCAACAGACATTTTAATCCTTCCACAGCCATCATTTTTTTATTGTCCAATCTGCCAGGAGGTTTGGGGTGAAGAGGGCAGAGCAGCCCTCTGCAAACTCCGTGCTCAGCTGGCACTGCCACTGGGGTGCTGCCAGCAAGGAGGGCACCTGCAAACCTCACGGAGAGTCAGGACCTGCAGAGACCTCAAAGCTGCCCTTTGCCCCCTTCAGCACTTATCACAAGCTGCTGCTAGTCCCCAAATCAGATTTAGGATTTAATTTCTAAATATTGGTGTTGGCCTGCCACCAGCATGTAAGAGAGCCTTTTTTTTTCTTCTTCTTCTATTAGTCTGTATTAAGCTGTTTCGTATTTTCACTCCTGAATTTTCTTAAAACTGTCAGCTTTCTGTATTACAGCCTAATGCCAGCACCAAAAATGGCCAATTCAATATATTTTTCAGAAAACATACAGAAAATTTTCAGAAAATATATGACTCAATGTTGTTAAAATTTTACTAGGTATCTTGTACTTGCCACTTATAAAACTCCCATAAAGCATGCAGCTCTAATGAGCCCCAGCTTGCTTTCTGGGCAATTATGAAAGAGTGGGTTTTTTATAATTATTTGTGAACAGAAATCCATGCTCTGTGGATACTGTTGTGATCACTGGAACACACACGTGGTGTTTACTTATTTCCTAATCTTGCAAAGCAGAGGGCGGGTGTAGGCATTTCTGTATTCCCATCACTGAGCAGTTCACAGAGTTGACAAGGAGAGGAAAAGAGAGAAGAGACAAGGATTTGCTGCTGGCTCCTGTTGGGACCAGAGCAGAGAAAGGGAACTCAAGTCCAACAGCTTGTCTTACAGCAGCAGGAGGTGAATTCCAGACACTCAATATCCAGTACTTGCTTTCATGCACAGGAAAAGGATTGTTGGGATTAAACAGGTGCCCCCAACACCACAGTGTCCCACATGTCAGGGTCACCAGCCCTTGGGGAAGTCAGCCGGTGGGTAAACAGATGAGAGGGCAATTGCAGGAAGTTCTCACCTGGGTAGGGATGTCGTCCTAGTGGAGGTGAGCTGCACCCCAGCACCCTTGGCACACCCACATGTCCTCACCTGGGCTGAAACCATGTTTAACAAAGCCTCAGAGGAACCCCCCACCCTTGAGGAGCCCCCCCAGGCTGAGGAAGCAGAGAGTCAGGAGAGGGAGCCCAAAGTTGCAGCATGGGCAGGAAGTGGGGGTTGTACCAGTGCAGCAAAGTTGAGGAAGATTCCTCTCTGCGTGTGGCAGTATCTCTAATGCTGGGGCCAAATCTTGGGTTTAAAACAAAGGCAAAAAGGAAAACTCTCCAAACATTCATAAGCCTCTTTAGAAAGCTTCAATTTAAGGTGAACCACAAAGCAGGCACCTTGCCACCGGGACTGCACTGCTTTTAGCTGATCCCATCTGTAATGGCAACCCAAGCATGCTGTTAAATGCTTTAATGCAGCCCTCTGGCCCCCAAAGCAACTTCCTCCTGTGAATGCCAGAGCCAGATCTCTGCTACAGCAAGCTTTAAATCTGGAAACACAAACTACCCTCCCATCTTGTTAGAGAATCAAAGTATTCACTGGGACACAGCAAACAATAACTTGAATGCCCAAGTTAGGGGTAAGGAAGGCTATGTCTCTCTCTGCTGTGAGAGCACTCATGTTTGGGAAGTGTCATTGACTAATAGTGGGAGCACTCTGTCACGGCACAGTCTGCCTTCTGGCTTTTAATTAAACAATGATACAAAGAGGCTGTCCTTCGTACCACATGCAACAGAGAAGGCATTGGCTCTGAAAAGCGCCCCTTCCACTGCTGTCAGCTCCCAGATAAGCACATTGCACAGGAGGAGGCATCTGCTCCTCCTTCCATGGGAATTTGTGAATTTTAGACTCCATTGCAGTAGAAAAGACTCACTTCCAGTAGAAACAAGAAATAAAATACACTCTTTCCTTAGAGCAAACAGACCAAAACTGAAGCGTGGGACAAAGTTAAAAAACCCCAACACACAACTTTGATGTATTTGATGCAGGAAATGACATGGTTTCTCTAGCTACATTGCTATGAAATCTTAAGTGAAAGATTGCTTCCAGCAGAACACACTGATTAAATCTGAAGAGATTTAAGAAAAATTAACATTCCAAGTTCCAATTAATTTTCTGATTAAGAAGTCAAGATGGGTACGGAATTGGGAGTGGCAGCTGAGATACCAAGTCTTTCTCCTTGATTGTGCTTCTGTTTATTAAAGAAGTTTTAAAAACCAAGGCACGGCAGAATAAAAGACTGGCCTTTGATGTATGTGATATGCCATAAACCAGAACCAGTCCTTCAGATTTTTGCTTGTCAGCTTTACATTTATGAAACAGAAGCTGCCTTTGAATACAGTTTAACATGATTACAGGTCTCTCTATGACTGAAGTTCTCTCTTAAAAGTAGCCTGTGTACATTGCCCTTTTCTTCCTTTATGGTGTTAAAAAAAAAAAAAAAAAAAAAAGGCCTGAAAGTTTTGAAAGCCATCGCTTGCTACTTGCCTCTTTTCCCTGGGATCCCAAACTTGTACAAAATCTTGTCCTTTTTTGTTAGAGAAATTCGTAGATGATCTTGGCTTCTCCACAAGGGTAGAGGGGTTTCCTTGCTCCTGCGGAAAAGTAGGAGAAAGGCAGTTCCTCACTAAAAGAGCCTTTCTTATAAACGTATTAGTAATAACCCCAACAGTCTAAACAAGAAACATTTCTGTGTGCTGAGCGAGGATATTGAGCACTCGGCAGAAGTGAGCCCATATCAGCCATCCTCCAGCCAGCCACAGAGCCTCCCAGAACAGATGTGCCACTTCAGTGTTTAAAAACATACAACTGAAAAGCAAAATCCTTTCAAAGATCTCCTTTACATCAAGCAGCCCATTATTTTCAAGGAATATTGACTAGAAATCATTTCTGCAGAACCACGTTCATAACAAAATCTAAACCTCCAGCAGAAAAAAATTGACTAGAAAGGGGGAAAACAGCCCAACTTACCTGTGTCAAGGAATTTGAGATACTTCTCCATGTCCAGATCAGCCACACGCAAATGCTAGAACAAGGGTTTACCTAAAAAATTGGGGTGGGGGGAAGTCACCCAAGAGTAGAGTGAACTATACTGAGATTCCAATGTACTGCAGGTAGTGAAAACTGTCTAACCCCCTGAAGTTTGCAATCCTCATCTAAAGTACTGTATACTCTGTAAGTAAAACCTCCTGCCCCAGAAATCCAAGGGAGGGTGAAAGAACTCACTTGAAGGTTTGTCTCTTTGAAAAAGACCTGAGGGAAGGGAAAAAGGTCCATTTCAGGGCTCACAGAATAAGTGTATTTAGATACTCCTCCTTAAGAAAGGACCCAGACGCAAGGAGGGTTTGTGCCATACTTTAAATCCAGGTTCCCAGGAAAACTTGCTTACAGAAAGATGAGAAGATCTGAGGATCATTACTGCAGAGGATTCAGAGAAATTATCTCCTAATATGCAGTTGAAGAGAGAACTAGTCTTGGTCTCTCTTTGGCTTGAACCACTACTGAAATTTAATGCTGACAAATCAAAAAGGGATATATCCAGAATCCGTAACCCTGATAAAAATGGGAAATCTGTATCATCTTAATCAAAGGATATGCCACCCTGAGCTGGATCTGTGTCTTGTCCCTTGGCCTCATATGACTCCTGTGTGCTAGAGGTTAAGGGTTTGTTAAAGAATATCGGTTTTGATTAAGTGTCACATATGGTGTAAAACATCCTCTTTATCGCTGGCAGTGAAGGTTGGGGGCCAGACAGTGCCTTTTAGTGAGCTTCTAATATAAATTAGGTGTCTTAGGTAATGGGTGGTTTTCAGACAGGATTGATCTTTCTATGGTCCAGTGAAAGTAGGTGTGTTTGGTGAGATGTCACAAAAGCAAGCTTCCTGGCACCTATACTAATGGGCTGGTTACCCCTTTTGGAGTAGGACTTGAAAAATGTAGCACAGGATTCCCCCCCTCCCCCTTCTTAACTTTTTCATTTTCTTGATGTAATGGGCAAAGGTCTATATATCCTTTACTCCTTTGGTATTTCAGTTCTTGTATTTGCAGTATCACTCAGTGAATCTTAAGCCACTCATCCTTTTAGTCACTTACAGCTTCCTAAACTTGCATGAACTTGAAGTGGTTATGAGTAGACTGTGTTACTTACTATTTTTATCAGTGTACAACCTTTAAAGAAAAAGGTATCAAATACACCATCACCACCACAACCAAATGATTTCTATTCCCCATTAAGTCCTCCTTGGAAACTTTGATGGCACAGAAACCTAGGAAGAACTGTAGAGATGTTAAACCCTAAGTTCCCCTACCTCAAAAATAAGAGCAAACATGCATTTCTATAGACATCAAAACGTGTCTGTATTTTCCTCTTTATGAAGCAGAAATTCTCTCAGCTTTGTGCAAAGAGTGGTATGATCAAAAGCGCAAACTGAGCACATGAGATCCAGAAGCTGTAATGCAGAGTCTAACCATGGACCTTGGGTAAAGAGGGTATATACAAAATAAACCTTTCCTTTATAGTTCATTGACACATCATAGTTAAAACTTTTGTGAAAAGTTTCCACGGATTTATGAAGAAATAAAAGTACAAATGTTGGTACTGCAGGCTCATAAACCCATCTGCTGAACAAAATCCTCAAATCTTTAAACACACAAGAATATGTCACAAACATTTTCATATTTCATTGCATTTACCACATATACAATCATCATTGGAGTACTAGTAAATATCAAATTTGTTAAAAATATTTAGATAATCAAGACATATGTCTATTCTGATTCTGACCCAGAAAGGTTTCCTTGGACCCCGATTTAACTAACTAGGATAACAAAGATTTACAACGAAATACAGTGGGATCATTGTGATTAAAGTTGCATTTGCCTGAAAACCATAACAGAACTGGCCTGAGATATGGCCTTCCATTTTGGTTATTTCAGATATGAAGCATAAAACCTCTCCTGTTAGCATGGGACACCTAGACAGCATTTTCTCTCTCCTATCTCAGGACCTCTTCTGCTTATTTTTGCTTATTTTCTCATTGTTATAATGAGGTAACTTTGTCAAAGTGCTTTTGAATATCTGTCTTATTAGAGACACTTTCAAAAAACCTGAATAACCAGCTGAGGTTTGGGTTTTTTAATACCATCAAAGGAAGTACACTTATTCTTACACCCCATGTTTGCAAACAGATTCCTAGTTGTCACCTCCTACATCCAAAGGGGACATGTGGAACCAGTAGTGTGACAGATGGGTATTTCTACTTGGGAAATCACATATTGAGACAAGAAAATAGAAATTTTTCTTGTGAGGGTGCTTGGTGGGGACTTCTGAGGGAACCAACAGGCAGGCACAGGCACTGAGGTCCTCAGACAGGCCCCCAGCAAGGTTCAGGCACTAAAATGCCTTTGGCCTCATGGGCTGGTCTTTTAGCCCCAAAAAGAAATCAAGCTCTCTTATTTCGAAGGTGCACACCTTGACTGTCAGGGATACAGTATGTTTTGATTTCTACTGCATTTAAAGATATTTTGTCCTAAATGAAGACATCAAATGGAATACAAATAACATATGTATTCTTACTGATTGCTAGAAATAATCCATGAGTACTTGTAAGATACAATTTGACATAGCATTAAAATACAAATCATGCAAATAGACCTCCACTGCCTCACTAATTTCAGGGTGAACATACTCATCTCAGAGTGGCTGCAATGCCAATGCCCTTCCAAACCACTCCAGGAGCTTATTTAAGAGATAACATGCATTTTATGAGCCTGTCTTATATGACATCTCATGTTATCCCTCATGGAGGAACTGAAAAATGTTTCAAAACTGCAGTTTGCAAAATAAGTCATTCACCCATCAGAAACACTCCTGATCCTGCAGGAACAGCAGCCCAGCAGCAGGGTCCCTGCAATGCTGAGTGTCATTTAGCTTTGCCAATTGGCTGCCACTGGGACCATGCCATCAGGAGCACGCAGGATACTTAGGATCAAATTTGGAAGAGCTGATGCCGGAAGCAGGGGAGTTAGGCAGACTCACTGCAGCAGAAGCTCCCTGCAAGCTTCCTGAGCCCTGGCAGGACTACTTTGGATTGCTTCCTCTGACTCTCATCACTGTCCTAATTTCTTGTAATTTTTTTTTAATGGTTTAGACATAATTTCAAGGTGCTCCTATATCCATGTTACATGTTACATGTTAGCACAGCCTAGTTTGTCACAGAAGCACCCCTTCTCACTGGAGGAATGGAAGGGGATGGTGGGATGGAGCTCAGCCCTGCCACGCTCACTACTCCTCTCCCAGGCACTGGGTTGGGGACTGGTACAGAGGTTGCTGTACCTTCAAGAGGTTGCTGGTCAAGTTGCTTGTGCATCCTTTCCAAATGTACTTTTTCACAGCCTGGGAATTATGGAATATTTCCAACAAGGATACACTGGTTTATTCTGAGTTCGCCCTGTGCATCAGCAGGACAGGAGTAAACAGGCTGTTTGCAGGACCAGGAGCAGCCTGGACCTCCTTGCAGCCCCATTATCCATCAGAGAGGGAAGTTTGCCAGGGGTTTACCTTACAGAGCCAGGATGGCAGCAGCATCCCAGCAGCGCTTTCTGGATTGCCTTGCCGTCCTGTTTCCCAGAGACATCTTGACACCCCTGTCTCGGACCATGAGGAGCACACAAGAGGATTCAGCTACTAGCAGTTCATTTCCTCTGTTCCACAGCAACATTACTACAAAGACAAATAATAAAGATATATCACTGCTGCAAAGAAGGATTATAGAAATATGGGAGACTCTCCACCTCATACCACATCCAGAGATTTTGTGTCTCCCTTGTGTTATTCAGACGGGCAGAGAGAACAAGTGCTAGAAAGGTAACGTTGAATAGAAGTTGCCTGTAGGATCAGTTCTATATTTATCACTCTCTTTTTGGTGCTGATGCAAATTTAAACTAATGACAAAAAAAAGTGATTGGATTCCTGAGATTTCCCCTTTCATCCTGTGGTAAGGCATCAAGAAGTCATCCCCCCCCCCTAAACCTCAGGGAGAAGAGGGAGAAAAACAACCAAGAAAACCGAAATGAGAGAGAGAGACAGCTAAAGCAATATATATATAAATATATTTACACTTATATTACAGTTAAATACAATTGAAATATATATACAATTTCACAAGGAAAAGGGAAAGGGAAGGGGGAAGGGAAAAAAAGGAATAAAACCAAAATAAAATATATATATATCCTGATCAGTAGCCCAAGATCTAGCAACTAAAAGAATTAGCAAAAGACTATCTTGCTACTCTTCCTTGGGACAACAGAAAGTCACGCTGGAACGACCGCCGGCAACCCCTGCCTCCCAAGGTCGGCAAGGCCTTACCAGGCCTCACTCTCCAACACGGCAGACTCAACAGCAGGGAACCTGCACCTCCAAGCCGCCAGAAGGAAAGAGAGCGAAGGCCTTTCCTCCTTTCTTCTTATACCCTGGCTTACGTAAAAATCATAGGGAATACTGGGCAAATCTGGGCCCTTCCTTGTTTACAAACTGGTCACCAAGGAAGGCCTAGACCAAACTACCGCATTCTGTGACCATCAAATGGTGGGCTGATCTCCTGGTGAGCTGGCTGCCCTTGCCTGAAGTGTGAACAAGGGGAGGTCCATTCTGTTTGGGGATGAAGCACAGAGAGAGGGGTAGTTCATGGGGCCTTGTGGGTGGTCCTGATTGAATGTACAATACCATATCCTACTTGAAAGGCCAACCTACTTTAATGTCAACACAGCCCAAAAGAGGGTGTCTTAAATGCAGTTTGATACCCCATCAATTCTACATATCCTTTTGAAGGGGCTCTCCTGCAGCCCCTACCAGTGCAAAATTGCTCTGTACAGAAGAGGCTCTTCCAGGGTTTGATAGTTTCCTCTTTGTGAATGGATGAGAAGAAAAATATGACCCAAACACCTTGACCTTTAAAGAACAGTGTTGTCAAATTCAAAGGACAATCTTCACAAAATGGAGCGTTTAATTGCTCACTGTTCTCCCTGCGCACAAGGTCCCCAATTACTACTCTGCACTCACTTTGGTTTTATTAATTTCTAATTCCTATTGGACTTTATCCACTAGATGGGAGAAGAGTGGGTTTCACGTGCTGTGTTACAGCTCCACCTCTCCACCTCTGCTGTGGAGACAGACCAGAGGCCGTCCCCAGTCCCACAGGAGCCCTGGTTGCCCAGCCCAATCGCCAGGCGTCAAGCCTGAAGCATCGTCACACACGAGGCCTTTCTGAGCTGCATTTCAGCATCTCTGCTCCCTCAGGAACTCATGGTGCTTTGTGCCACCCCGGGGTGTGCCGAGCTTTGCCTGAGGCTCCTGTGGTGGCTGGTGACAGATGAGCTTGACAGCCTGCTCAGTCCAGGTGACTGAGCATTAGCTTGCCTGTGAGTGCAGGCGCTAAGTAAATCTCATTCCTAATCTAAATCGCTTTTGATAAGAACAAAAGCTGTGTGCAAATGAATATTTCCATCTTATTTCAAATTCTAGGTTTCAACTGCAATATTAATGCTATTTTACAGTGTAATTTACTTGTAATAATATATCATTATTGCCATTTTACAGTTTTCTCTTAAAGTAGTAAAGAAAATGTTTTAAAAGGCACAAATAGCTGCAGCACAAATCTCCATTCAGCCTAAGAATCTGTGCTCTCCCATCAGAATGGCACGTAATTGAAAACAATGACAGCCCCAATGGGCCAAACACTCCAGTCATTAACGCATTTTTATTTTGGAATAAAAGAGCATGCTTACAGCTTTTTTCTCAAATAGTAAATATAAATTAAACATTTCTCTTCCTTTCCCAGAATGCTGCTTGCCAGTGAAGCCAGGGCTGACCACAAACACTTTCCACAAGCACATCTCAAAACAGCACACTGGGTTTAGACACCAAACTCCCCAAGGGGAAGGGTTTCCTGCAACACAGCACATAAAAGGCAGCCTGCAAGAGGAGAAGTGTCCTTACCTGGTGGCAAGTTCCTGATACCCTGGTGACTGTACTGCTGGGTTGGTAGGCATTGCCTTCAAAAGCCAGGCTGTGTACAAAGGGATGGAGGTGTCACAACAATGCGGTATCACTTAATGGAGAAGACGTATGTCATACATGTAACTGTAAACCAGTCATGTTTCCATCTCTCCTATATATCTCTGGATGAATACTGATGCATTATTAGTACTCTTGCTGACTGAAGGAACCAAAAGACTGTCAGAGACTTCTCATGCTTTTCCAGGAGGATTCCCACCACTCTTCCCCCATAACAACACTCCACAGACTGATGCGGTCAAGGCTATTTGAGATCCGAGTGGTCAGGAGGGTGTAGTTACACATCAAATTGTTTCCTGCAGGCTGAGGGTTTATCCCAGTAGTGACTATTGTTCAGTAGCTGTGAGATTTATACCACATTTCAAAAATATGATTTCTCAGTGTGATCTCTGTCTGAATTTGGCAGAAAAATATTTAATGGCTGGCAAAACATTAGTAAATAAAAGCAGATCAAGATGATGTTGTTACAATAACAGATTACATTACTATTCCCTGTCCTTAGGAAAACCCTGATTAGAGCAAGATCCTCATGGGGTCTTATGAATAAGTCAGGAAGGGGCTCTAATGACCCCACGTGAGAGTGTACGAGCTGCAGCGCAGCCAGCGAGATGCCAGGTGCCTCTCAGAAGCAGGCACTAGTCTGGATGACTAACAGCAGTTATCACAGGGGGTTGTTGATTTTCTTTAATAATTTGGGACAGATTTTCTGCTGATATAAAATAGTACTGCTCTATTGAAGCCAAGAGAATGCTGCCAATTTATAACAGCAAAAACTGACCCTTAATCTATTTTTAATCCCTTTATTATTCATTATCTTTTTGAAGAATTGTACCTCAGTCTGAATACTCCCCACTACAGGGACAAGCAACAGACTTTTCTTGTTAATCAATGTATGGGAAACTCCAATAGCTGAAGTACCCTTCCACCTTTGCAAGCGCACCTAGCACTGATTGCTGATCTTATATCTTGAAATGCATAATTACTGAACTAAGAGAAAATTACTTTTTGCTTGTGAGTGTCAGGACAGCTCTGAATCCATGAATGACTCACCCTCAGGCACTGGTGTTTAATTTATGAGTTATTTATCTCCTTGCACACACCCCAGCACAAACAATTATACTTAGTAATTTGTTGATCTTATCAAGGCTGTTTGATGTTAGTATTGCTACCTCCAATAATGCTGTGCTTTGAAACTTAAACAGGATTTCTAACCAAATTTGGATACTTAGCACATGATTCATATTACAGGGAAATTTAACTCTTCAGCAACTAGAAGGTTTTGTGTGCAATTTTCAAAGTATCTTTTGCTGACAAATTTGGCGAGTTGGACCTTCATCAGCATGAGAGCCCCTGATTAGAGTTAGAGCTAGTTTTGTCCTTACACAGCATGGGTGACTGTTCCTAGTAGAGGACAAGAGAGGGAAGTGGGTCCCTGTCCCAGGCCAGAGCAAGAGCGTCACTTCCATCTGCCCTGTCCATGCTTGGGGCTAGCTGCAATGGCCTGGTACAGTCAGAACATCCAACATCCACACACCAATCTGCAGTGTCCTCCCTCAGAGCCTGTACTGCTGCTCTGGCTTTCTCCTGGGAACCTTTTTATGTGGGCAACAGCCTTCCTCATTACTGAGTAAGGACTTTATTAACCTTTAAACTATTACATGTTTACTGTAAATCAAGATCTATGAACTCTTTGCACAATGTAACTCTCTGTTGTCAGGTGCAGGTACTAAACCTGGGGCCACACTCGTTTACCTCATCCTGTGTTTCGGGTGCAGGCAGCTCCTTTGCACCTACAGTCATGTGGTGGTGAAGGTTGTCACAAATGAGTTTCCAAAATCACCCTCATAAACCTTCTTGCCTCCCCCTTGCATGTTGCTGTGATCATTAGGCTCACCAAAATACAGCAAGTGAACCTGGTATAAGAGGTACAAGCAGTGCAGAGATTTTATAGAATCACAGAATGGTTTGGGTTTGCAGAGACCTTAAAGACCATCTAGTTCCAACCCCCTGTGATGGGCAGGGACACCTTCCACTAGACCAGGTTGCTCAAAGCATCCAATCTGGCCTTGAACATTTCCAGGGATGGGGCATCCACAGCTTCTCTGGGCAACCTGTTCCAGTGTCTCACCATGCTCATAATGAAGAATTTCTTCCTAATATCTAAACCCACCCTCTTTCAGTTTAAAGACATTGCCCCTTGTCCTATCGCTACATGCCCTTGTAAAAATAATTTAAGTCTGCCATTTTAAGTCCAGGCTCAAATTAGCTGTACCTGCAGGTCTGGCGGTGCTGCTGTGGGTGAGGCAGGGGGTCTCTGCCTGTGGCTGTGGTGGTGGGAGCTGTGCAGCCAGTGCACACCCAGCTCTGCTTGAGCTGAAGGGTCTGGGTCACTGGGGATGAAAACACGGTCCACACAGAGCAGTACTTTTTCCATCCCTACTTGTACCAAAATAGCCCTTGATATGTTACTTGTGTTTGTCCAAACACCCATATATAATCTTAGGCTTTTCAATTCCCCCTGTTGCACAGAGTTCCTGCCCCACAGGGCCCAGCAGTGCCAAAGCCAAAGTCCTTCCCCTCCCACAGCAGCAGCAGAGCTGCCAAGGATAGGAACCCCCCACGTTCCTGCTCAGCCAGCCCAGGGCTGTTGGTCCACTTACCTTCCAAGACTCAGGTGCATATATTTTGTTAACTTACACATCCCACGTAGCCTTGCAACAGCCACAGATTAGATTTTCTGTGTGGTTTATGAAGTTTTTCTGTGCCGAGCACACATATTTTGCATGTAGAAAATAAAATGCTACAGGCATTCTGTAACTGCAGAGAGCCATATGAGCTCTGATGGGCAGGCACCTACCCAATCACTGGTTCCTGACAGCAAGCACACACATGTAATATATTTCACAATATGCAACACGCTGCCATATGTGTCTATTCCAATGGATCCGGAATGGGCACTACCTGTAGATAGAAGCCAAGAAATAACTGCTTCAAAGACAGCCTTGAAATGCTAAATTTACTTTAAAACTTTCAAAGCCCAACCAGCTATTCCAATCCACAGGGACAGTGTGATGAATACCATTACTTTGATTATTATTTATTTTCTTCCAAAGCCTCTGGTGTTTTTTTCTGTTTTAATTGAAGTGAAATGGTGGATTAGCATAATCAAACATATGGAATTAGTATGGTGGGAGTAAAAACTAAAAGAAGTGACTATTAGTTTTAAACAATTACACACTTCTAATGACTTCCCCTGCTTCATCCTCTGTGAGTTGAATTCATGGGTGGAGAGATATGGTAAAATTTAGCTAATATTCTTTAAACTGCAAACCTTGCCACACACGTTGATCTTTCAAAATGCAGTTTTACAGTCCTACCCTGCAGCTGGCAGAATAAATGCTCAGTGCTTAAAGCACCTGGTGTAACACAGCATAAAGCATCCCCGCCGACCACCTTGGTAAGGACCAACCGTGCTCTGCAAGGACAGTTTGAACAGGCCTGGCAGCCACAAGAACATAAAACACTGCACTGAGAACTCACCTTCCTGGTGCATGTGAAGCTACAAGGGTAATTTGCCAGCTTGCTGGTGCAGAGGCAGGAGGAGAGCACTGTCACAGGGCTGAATGCCTTGGGACACATGTACTCAGCACAGCCACCCCTGCCCACAGCAGGCACTGCTGGGCAAAACCATCAATAAAGTGCCAGGAGGTGTTCAGACAAGCTACCCCAGCTACAGTGCAGCCACTCCAGCCATAAGCCTGTTCTGTGGAAAAAGAGGAAGGAAAATATGGCTTACAACATGGTGTTTTTGAAGCAGGTGCTCTGGCATACAGACTCCTTGACAGGCCCTGTGATCTGGGAAGAGATCAGGGTGAATTTGGATGATGAAGGGTGGAAGATAGATGGAAAACTGCAGCAGGTAAGAAAGGATGCTTGAGGAAAAGGAAATTTAAAACAATTACAATCATTCTACCAACCTCTACAGGGCTGAACAGAGTAAATGAAAGAACAAATAGATGTGACATTAAGAAAATACTTACGATACTTTTTTTCAAGTAAAGATTTTAAACAAAATGCAGAACTG